TAAATGAATAACTGTGGAAGAATAGACAAATTTCCTGGGCATAAGAATTCCATATAATGTATGTAAATAATCCCCACCTCCTAAATTCTCACTCATTGGGTGTGTGCTACACATAGTGACTTTATTCCCAGGAATAACTACAGTGGGGGGAGAGTAGCTACAGTGGAGACACCTGACATAGGCTACCTGAGTGAGACAATCAAGGTTAACATCAGCCGTGATGTCATGTGCATCCCCTCGATATGATACGATGAGAACGCCGCTTTGCCTCGGTGACCTTCCTCCCTCTCACCCACAGCCCCAGCCTAATCATGAGGAAACCCCAGCCAAACCTCGACTGAAGGACAGTCTACAAAACACTTGATCAGCATTCTTCAAAACTGTCATCAAAGACGAGGCAAGTCTCAGAAACTGACAGTCAAGAGGAGCCTAAGAAGGTGTGACAACTGAGCACAATGCGGTATCCTGGACGGGATCATGGAACAGAAAAAGAACATTAGGTGAAAACTAAGGAAATTTAAATGAAGTATGGACTTTAGTAAATAATGATGTATCACTATTGGTTCATTAATTGTAATAAGCATACCACACTACTGTAAGGTAATAGGGAAAAGTGGGTATGGGGAACTCCCTGTACTACCTTGGCAGTTTTTCTGTAAACCTAGAACTATTCAAAAATTAAAAAAAAGTATTTATTTGGTGGTTGGACTAGATGGTATTTAGTATATTCAATCCAACTCCGAGAGTCAGTGATTTTAAAATTAGGTATTTGTGACAGTGCACTAAGTGACAAATGGCAGCAGGATGCATATAACCATTAAAATTACACATATATTGAGAGAGACTGGAAATATATACATATATGCATGATTGTGTGCTTATATCTATGTAGGATGTAATATCACTATAAAAGAATACATAAAACAATGTTAAAAGTAGGTATCTCTGGATGGTATGATTGTGGACAATTTTTTTTTCATTTTATTTGGCAGCATTTTAAAAACAATTGGCCTATGACAGATTGTTTTTTGTAAAAGAAGAAAACGTGAACAAAACTTTTAATTTTTAAAATCAATGAGTGTGCATGATGATGGTGTCTGTCTGGGCTGTGTGCCCCTCCTCCAGCCCACATAATACCCTGAGTTTACTTTTGTCATTGTATTTATTCTACAAGAAACCAGTTTATCCATTTACATTATTTGTCCTTCCTAGATTATATAATTTTTAAGAACTGCAACAAAAATCTCTCACTTCTGCATCCCTACGATCTTGGGCAGAGCCCACTATATTGTGCATTTTTGGGCATAGGCAGAGAGCAATACAGTGTGAAATCTTGGACAAGTAACATTTTTACATATGTAAATATTTTACATATGTGAAATGAGCGATTTGGGTTACTGCCATATCTGGGGTTCCTTCCAGAGCTAAGATCCAAGGTTCTCTGCCTGTCTCAATGAATTAGGCATAATTTCACCAACTAGGACCACCAGGGAGAGTCTGTGACTTGCCCAATTTCTTCTTTTGCCTCTACTGAAAGGTAATGAAAGATTGAGATTTAGGAAATATCTGTTGTGTGAGATTTGGCTCACAAAGCCCTTTTTTTGTGGGTTTTAAATACTTGATTATTTGCAGTTAAATCTGTCCTTGAAAATTTACAAAGTCCTGAATGAATCAGAATGATTACAATATAGGATTCAATACAAGAATAATTATTTCATAAGACCTTACTGATGTTATATGGTTTAATTTTTTACAATATGCAGAAAATAGCCTGTGTGATGAAGTGAGCATATTGCTATATGTGTGTCATTCTAATTGTGCAGCTTTTTCCTTGGACTTAAGGTTAAGGAAGAATAATGGCAAAGCACAGTTCGCCATCTACACATCTCAACGTCAAACTCTGAGCCCTTCCAACATCAGCGATTCCGCCATCTCTTAATAATCTCCAGCTATCCCACTCTGAACCCCCATGGACAGTGATAACTTGAAACATCAAGCTCATATCTTAGACGAGCCCATTATAGTTTGTATTCATTTCCTGTTGAGGTACAACAAAGTACCACAGACTTAGTAGCTCAGACAGCACAAATTTATTATCTCACAGCTCTAGAGATCAGAAGTCTAAACTGAGTCTCACTGGGCTAAAATCAAGGCGTTAGCAAGGATGCATTTCTTTGTGGGGGCTCCAGGGGAGAATCCATCTCCCTGCCTTTTCCAGCTTCCTGAGGCCGCAGCGTTCCTTGACTCATGGCCCCTTCCTCCATCTTCAAAGCCAGTAATGCAGCATCTTCAAATCTCTCCCTGACACTGACCCTCTGCTTCCATCATCACAGCTCCTTCTCTGGCTCGGATCCCCCTGTCTTCCTCTAATAAGGACATTTGAGAGCACACTGGACCCATCCAGATAATCCAGGATAATCTCCTTCTCAAGATCCTTAACTTCATTTTATCTACAAAGTCCCTTTTGGTATGTAAGGTAATATATCAAACATCTTTGACATCTTTGGTATGGGGACCATTATTCTGTCTACCATATATCCACGTTTCCCCCATTACCCAGTGGAGTGACACCTCTTGTGTGGAACTTTACTTTCACAGCAACCTCTAAGTCAGGCACCTTTGGTATCAGTCACATCTTGTCACAGAGAAGTCAGTACTTCATTGATTCTATAAAGATTGCCCTTTTAGAAAGTATGAATGGATATGTGAGGCTCTAATTACAGCTATGTGAGCATGTAATTCTTTTATTCAGACAAATTTTGATTTTTTTTTTTTTAGAAGGACAGCTTTGGTGAGACAGACATAGATTTAAATCTGGGCTCTACCATCTATCATTGTGTTACTTAGAGTAAGCTGCTTTCATTTTCTGAGCTTTGTCATTTCTACCTCAGCCACATTTTCTACTGACCTCATAGTACACCCCACCACCCCTGAGATGTCCCTATGTGAGATTTCAAGCCTATCCAGAGAGTCTTAGATTACATATTAAGAGTCATAATTGAGCTTTATAGACTTCAGAGAAATAAATAAGTAGAAAACAAATAAGATTGTATAATTTGTGTGGGCTTTGTACATGAAAAGATCTGATTTATTAATTCTCTTCTCTGAAAATATTTTCAATACTTTATTTTCTAGAATTGAGTGATGAAATATTATATTATATTTTATATTATAAAATAATATATATATTTATAATAAATATATAATATATTTATTATAAATATATATAAAATAAATATAATAAAATATAAAATGAATATTATAAAATATCATGTTCATAAAAAGGGTTTTCTGATTAATCTCCTGGACTCTCTCTCTCCTTGCCCAACATTTGTGTTTCTGTGATTCTCTGAAACTTGTCCAAGCTGTTCCACGTATCCTATGGTTCTGAGAGTCCAGCTCTGTTTGTCTCTTTTTTTATTAAATTAAACTAGGTTCCCAAATGCACTCCCTTTCCATCTCCAATGCACCTTTTTATTAGTATATTAAATTTGCTAAAAGTTTAATGTTTAATTAGGAACCTATGTATTATTAGCCGCCTAATTTATTAAGGATGATTCAGAATATATAGACCATTTCTTTTCTTAACACAATATCTTTGGCACCTTATAACATGAAATAGAAAATCATTAGTCCTACCTGCTAACGAGCTTCACCCTTTGACTACATTCTTGGAATCTGTGCCTTGATCCTGTCATTCTCTTTTCTCATTCACATTGCCCCCTCCAGTCATTCTTTCTTTCTGTAAGGAATGTATCAGTTTGGCTGATTGCAAACACTTGAAGCAATACAAATGTGGATAAAATGAAGTGAATTTGCCCCACCTTCTCAGTCTTGTGAAGTCATTATTATAAAAAGTATTGACATTCACTGTCCTCCTGGATTTTTCACTTATGAACACATGCTGGACCTTATGTCATGTCCCAGCACATAGATCTGACTCCTCTTTTAGTGGCCACATAGTAGTCCTTTGTGTGGCTATACCATAATATTATCTCCCTACTTCTCTCTTTAGTGTTGTTGCAGAAGGCAGAGTGTTCCCCTCATGGCATTTGTCACTCTATGTAATGTTTAGTGGAGAACCACCAGAAAGGAATGAGGAAGGAGCCAACAACCATTTTCTGAACAAACTCCTTTCCCTAGAGCCTCCCTCCCTTCCCGATCCCTTGTCCTGGAGGAAGTGGGGAAGTGGTCTAGCAAAGTTATTATTTCGCTGCCTATTATCAAACCCGATTAGACAATTACTAGAGCACCATTTCCCTCTCTCCTGACAGTTCTCCAGTGATGGGGATTAAAACGGGCAACTTCACATAAGAGGCAGAAGTGGAAAGAGCACCATGCTTACGAGCAGTTCTTACCTCTTGGGCTTCTCTTGTCTCCTCCCCTCCCCTCCCCTCCCTCTTCCTCTTCTTCCTCCTCTTCCTCTTCCTCTTCCTCTTCCCCTTCCCCTTCCCCTTCCTCTTCCTCCTCCTCCTCTTCTTCTTCTCCTTCTCCCTCTCTCTCTCTCTCTCTCTCTCTCTCTCTCTCTCCTTCACCAGAATTAGCTAGCTCTGATGACCACATCATTTATTTATCTGTCGAGTCTTAGCTACAAGCCTAGATTGTTATTTTTGACCTGCCCATCTCCATAGAGAGACTCAGACTTAACCCTCCTTTGTCTTTTCTCAGTGGACTTTTCAACCCCTGCATCACCAACATAATTTAACATCGTTCCATTTGTTTCTAACAACTGCAGTATCATCAATTTCACCTTCATTCAACCCCAACCTGTTAGCTTAGTTACAGTCAAAAGGTTCTTACACACGAGAAGAGCGAGAAAGGAAGCTTTTAGGGTCCCTTCTTTCAATGATCAGAGAAAACATTTAGGTTGCTATGGCACACAAAAAAGTTCTTGATAAATAGTCTTACCTCCCCACGTTGGCATGTAGCTCAGGTGATAGGCAAAGTCTGTCTCCTAAAGAAGCTGACAGTCACAGCCCCCTCCACCGGCCTCCACCCACCTGCAAGGAAAGCCGTACTCCTGAGCTGTCAGAAAGTTGTGTACCTGGGCAGTTCCTGAAACAGAGTGGCATTTGACTAATCTTGCATAACATTTTCATAATCCACGCCTATTTGTTCTAAAGAAAGACCTGCTTTCCTGATCTTTTTGTATCAGGAAATATTCAAACCAGGGGACTGACAATTCCTGCATTGATAGGTCCAAAGATTTTTGGAGGTCTCTCTTGTGCTAGGCCCTGGGCTGGGAAAGGGGGATGTGAAGAGGAACAAATCACCCTCCTGTGTGTGCCCTAAAGAGCTTACAGCCTTTCGGAGGCCACACCCAGTAACTCCCATGGAGGAGTACTGAGGATACAGAAGGAGAGGAAGGCTGTTATCTAATGGGAATTTGGGATGCCATCACCCAGGAGGTAATGCCTGCTACGAGTCTTGAATCATGAGTAGGAGCTTTCCTGATAAATGAGGGCCGAGCTGAGCTTGAGGCTGTGGGGAAGAAGGATGTGAACAGCAGAGAGAGCAGCATGTACAAAGGCACAAAGTCATTCAACAGGAGGGCACATTTGGGGAACTGCAAAGTCATCTGTAAGGCTGAAACATGGAGTATGTGGAAACAAAGGGGAGAGATAAAGCTGAACACCAGGAGGCCTCACCTGGTGGGCTGACTTATGGTGTAGAAAGCAGTACTTGGGAACGTGGGTGCTATAATGATTCCATACTTGAGTGTCTGAGCTTAAAATATCATTTGTCCTTGTGAGAGAAGCAGCAGCAACGCGAAGGGCTCAATGTGTATTTAGTTACTCTGTGTGCTCAGAAATGGATGGTCTGGTTGGTCAAACGATGTTTGAATTAGGACACTGAATACCAACTTCCCAATCATTAGAATAATTAGAGTCCATTAAATATTAAAGCTGTCATTAGCTGTCATGTGAATATTCTTCTGACACTTCAGAAGGATCCTCAAGACTTTAGGAAGGAGCAGGGCTGTGATCAGCGTGAACCCCACTCTGTGTGGGGTCCAAGGTGATTTTCAGCAAGGTCTGCTCGGGAGGAGGTGAGCTGAGGGTTCTCCTATTTTAAAAGCCACTTGCATTTAGAATATTTTTACACTTTCATGTGCTGTGAAGACTCCTGACAGATTGAATTTGGGCCAGCGTAATAAATGAAGCACCGCACTAAGAATGTTAGCACAAACAAATAATCAGAATAAACCACATTTCCCCACGTGACCTAGCAAACATATGGTCTTGTGGTTGAAACTTGGCAAGTTAATTGTCATAAGAACCCTGAAAGGAAGTTGGAATAAACTGGTAATTTTATCCCTAGGTCAGACCTCTGTCCTTGATATTTCCTTGTTCCCACAGACTGGCAAACCCTTGAAACAGCAAGTACATTCTATTGCTAACTTTTCTCCCCCCAGTGATATTGCATTAATGATTATAATTTGTTCCATTAGTATTGCCTTTATAGCTTCACTTCACATCCATGATTTTACTGTTTCTAAAGACCTGTTGGATACTCATTGCAGGAAAATTGTGTTTTTTTCCCCCTCCTACATTTTAACATGTAGAAAGCTAAGACTCAGAAAGGTGACTTGCTTTGTCCAAGGTCACATGACCTTAACTGCAATTCATGCTTCTCTCTCCAAGTCTGGATACCCTTTTGCAATATCATCTCGCCTCGAGGACATGTTCTTAAAAGGCAGTTGTTTACAGTCAGTAAGTTGTACTGTTGGGATGGCCACCAGGAACTCCTGACCATTTTCCATAGCGTGCACGTGACTGCAAATGGCCCACTGTCCAACTTCCCTAGCTTTCACCAATGTCCTGGCCAGGTCATCACCTAATAGAAATGGGCTTGTTGCCTTCCACCTGGACCTTGACCTCTCTTACACTCACCTGATTTTCCCAGGTTCTGTCTCCTGCCGATACTTGGACCCTCCCTCTCTGTCTAGTACCCTGAAGTTTCATATTTTGTTTGAATAGCCTATCTGCCCTCAATTTATTTCTTTCCTCAATACTGCTTTGTGAGTGTTTCTATGAAGACTATGGACTGCAGGTGATGAAACAAGTAATGTCTCAATCTTATGTTTGGTGCAGATCCACGCTCAGCACCCCAGGCTTCCAGTTACCTGTCAGAGAGGATGAGTCAGGAGGGTGGGGGGGTACAGGCATAAAGCTAACTGCTCCCTAAGAACAAGGGCAGGGTACAGGGTTCCTCCATTCCGTACCAGCACCAAGATGGACATTCTGGGACAGGTCAGTCCAAAAGGGTTAATTACCCAAGGTAGACTGGGTGGATGCATAAAAATATAAATGTAGTCAAGAGGAAACCAAGGCCAGAAATACAACAGAGAAGGCCAAGTGTAAGGATCAATGAGATTTCAACAGCAAGGTCTTAAGCAATGTGGGGTCCGATATAGAGTTTGCCAACAGCTCCTACTAGATTTGGCAGAGACAAACTGACAGTCATGAACATCAGTCTGGAGGAAATGCAGGGCTAGGACTATGCCCAGAGATCCCAATGGACACTCAAAGTGACTCCGATGTTGAGTCTGAGGATAACACATTGTGATATTGTGGGAAGAGCACTGAGTTGGAGACAAGGAGTCTGGAACATAGTGGGAGCTCCAAAAATTTGGATTGTATTTAATAGTTATAGATTTAAGAACTACAGCAGCCATTTACGATAATAGCAAGCTGTCTAACTCTTTTTTATCTTCAGTGTCCTTATCTGCCAAATGGGGATAATAATATCATACTTGCCTGACTTAGAGGGTGGTTTTGAGGTACAAAAAAATTAATAGACAGCCATTTGCTTTAAAAATCATCCAAATGCATTGTATTGGTTGCTTAGCACCTATTTTAGAAGGAGTTTACTGTGGAAAGGAGACCCACGTGTGCTGTAGACCAGCTTAGGGCATCTCTAAATCCTGAACATGGTCAGGTTGCATAATTGGATGTAGCATTTTATTTTTCCATTGCTGAGGAGTCCCTGATCACTGGGCTCAAGTTCTTTTGCCAATTTCTTCTCGGGGGCTGAACACAAGCCTGATAAGTATTACAAACCCTACCCGTTTCTCCTCGTCCCCCTGGCCAAAGGGAGTTTCACTTACTCTGAGTTTAGAGGTGAGTTACTCACACCAGTTACTCAAAGTCTAGTTTCCACCCTCTGCAGCCAAGTCTTTTAGGCTGCTGGCCAAACAATGTGATGAGAGAATGGCACAGGTGGAATTCAGCTAGGATGCTGTTACTCCATCCCAGTGAGGTAGGGAGCAGCTCTGCCTGATGACAGAGTGCATTATATTTCCACCAGAGAAAGAAAAAGAAAATGCTAGCCCAATTAAATGAAAAGGCTATCCCAGTGCTTTCCTTATCAAAGGATGTTATTTGAGAAAGGCTTTCCCATATGCAACGGCTTGTCCTTATCTCCTTTCCTGCTCCCACAAAACCAAAATGAATCTACAACCTTTGTACAGGGAAGTGATGTGAAATCAAATATTTCTTTATAACTTAAGAATTGTAGACCACTCTGCAATATCCTCGTAGGTCTATCGAAAGAGCGGGACAGGGGGGTCCAAATTTCCCATCTAAAGGGTATTGAAAGGTTACTGGAACCCCTTCTCCCTTCCAGTTGTTCTAGGAAGACGGGGTTGGCAATCGGACCCTTTTCATGGAAGCGGAGCTGAGAGAATGTGTGCAGTATTAGGGGGCACAGGGCTTTCTGACTTCCAGTCCCAAGAAATAGGACCCCATTGTATCACTCTCTCTCTCCACTCCACAGGTTTCTTCCATGATGATGGTCATGGGATCATCAGTTCTTCCCACTACAGTACATGACCTAATTTTATAACAGTCTTTCCCACAGCTACACAAGTAACACACGGTGAAACTGGGGTGAAAGCCCAGGTCTTTGGGGCAATGGCTGAGGGGCTTTCCATGACGTCACTGTCCCTGGTGTACACGTGCTGCTGCACAGAGGTCCACACTGTGTCCGAAGCTTCTCTTCCTTTCACTACCTGAAGCCCAGACCAAAGGGATCATATTCTCCAATCAATAATCAAGACAAAATTACACCTCTATGTGTAATGGGGAAGAATGTTTAAAATGAAGAAGGTTCTGGAAACATCTAGTAAGCATAGTTACTACACACCTTCCTTCCTCTTGGGCTTTTGTATTTTTAGTGAATATTTACTAAATATCTACCATCTTCCTCAGTCTGTATTAGGAGATAAGTCAATTCAAAGCATGAGCCATGAGAGCCAGCCATAGGCAAAAATAGTGTTTTCCACTTCCTGCTCTAGGGGTCCCAGCACCCATCTGACCAAGTCCTAACCCAGGAGCTCAGAAACAGGACCTGCATGACAGTTTAAGCCCAACTTAAAGTACTCTTTTTCACTATATGAATCACTCAACATTATGGTTCAACAAAGCAGTATGTCTAGAACTTCCAATGGCAGGGATGTATCAGTGTTGCCCTCAAGAGCATTTTAAGAATTAAATATATCGTTCTGTTCTGAAAAACTCTGTGGAATTACTCCCTTTAGGCTTGTAAGCTATCGAGCAACACATCAAGGCCACAGCACAAAGCAGATGGACACCCTAGCCGTGGAAGGAAGCAAAGTCACCCCAAACCACATGGCCTGGGCACAACCATGGGCCCTCAGTGGTGGCACTGTCAGGTCCCACAGGCCTGTGACCCACAACGCAGGCGGCTCCACCGCGCAGGGCTTGGAGGAGATTCAGAAACAGAGCCTGGATTTCTGGGAAGATTCTACTGGTTTTTCAACTTAAGCAAAGAACAATAAATACTTCAGATAAGCTTGGTGAAGGGAGGCCAAGGAGGGCTTGGAGAACAGGCTTGGTGATGTGTATGTTCCTTATTAGTGAAAGTTCAGCCTCTGGGGGCAGAAAAGGAACGTTTACAAGATAGGCGGCGGGTGACTGAGCACATTTGGCAAAGTTTTCTGTTTTGCTCCTTCTAATATAGGACAATTTATGGCCAGTTTGGAGTCAAACGTCCTGTCAGGTTTGTAAAATA